CACTCTAGTGCCAGGACCAGTAGCTCCACTTTGCGGGAACTCCTCGCAGTCCGGTACACTTTGGTCTCACTTCGCACTCACATTGCACAACGCCAGATCTGCATCAACACTGACAACCAGAATTTAGTCAGGATCCTGTGTAACGGTAGCGGCAAGGTTGAGTTGCAGGAACAAGTTGTTGCTATATTTCGGTTTTCCACCACGATTAAGGCACGTCTGTTTGCGCAGTGGGTCCCGAGGGACCTCAATGTCACAACGGATCACTTGTCGAGAATCATTGATGATAATGACTGGCAGTTGGAGCCATCTTTATTTCGCCATTTTAACGCCAAATGGGGCCCCTTGACGGTGGATCGCTTTGCAAGCCAAATATCAGCGCAACCACCCCGCTTCAACTCCAAGTGGTGGTCACCAGGGTGCGAAGCTGTGGACTGTTTCACCCAAGCCTGGGAAGGTGAGGTCAACTGGTGTCTACCACCGCCGGCGCTGCTGGGTGACCATTATGCGTTCCTCGCCAATGTACCATGCCACGCTGTAGTGGCGTTCCCATTCTGGCCATCGGCCCCGTGGTGGCCTGTGTGGATGCCGGAAAATGGCCCTTGCCATCTCGCTACGGACTCGGAAATCGTGTCCTTGCCGTTTGGTGCTTTCCAGCATGTGGCCAAACCAACATGCCTGTTTGGTCCAGGCCCGCCGCCTTTCCAATTTGTCTTCATGCAGGTCTGCTCGATGACGTCATGCCGGGCGCATAACCCATGAACGTTGGCCATCTCAAACACTGACCCTTTCTGTCTGACACGTCCATAGAATCAATTTTGCCATAGGATGGTATGTTGTGCCAGCTTAGTCTTCTAGTAGCATGCTGCACATTCTTGCTTCTACCTTATTTGGTCTGTCTCTCGTTTGCCGTTTCTTGTTCTTTGGTCTATTTTGTTCCCTATATTTTTTGTTTTCGTTTTGTTGTTAGTGTTCCCTGGCCTTGGAGGAGTCATAGTTATTGGATTTTTCTTGTCTTGGAAAGTAATGGTGTAGATTTCTATGGGCTGGGCTTGATCCTATGCGCAAATGAGTGCTAAAAAAAGAAGGAAAAAAGAGTGCTGTCACTACAGTCTATGGAGGGCATGCATTTGTGTGTGAGGCTCCCTGGGAGCAAAGGCGTGCAACACTTGGTGATCTGCATGCCTATGGGAGGCAGAGCGGGAGCTCCCTGGGAGCGTGTGTGTCATTCCCACCTGGTGGGCAGGTGGTTCATGTGTTTTCCCAAGGGGACAATGTGCCACAGGACACATGCAATGAGAGGCAGGCCTGGAGCTCCCTGGGAGCGGGTTGGTCATCCCCACTTAGTGGTTAGGTTGTGCATGTGTTTGCCCAAGGGGACAATGTGCTACGGGATGCTGTTGTCTGCGGGGTCGGGTTTGCTTGTGGCTCGGAAGCCTACGGAATGAGCTGCTATCATGCATGGGACCCGTTTACGGTGGCCATTAATGAGGACCCATGGTTGTTGTTGTTGTTGCGTTTTTTGTTGACTGGGTTGCGTGTTTTTGCCTATTTTTGCTTCTCCGTGTGTCATTCTTGTCAGGCCCGTCCGCGTTCTGGGTCGAGGTGGACGCTGTGACACAACCGTCCCTGAAACCTCTGGCGGACCTGCTAAGGACAGTGATTTGGAAGAATGTTGCTAGCTCCACTGCGTCTGCGTACCAGCGCGCGTTACACCGATGGGAAAAGTGGGCCGTACCGTGTCAAGTTACGCCATTCCCAGCGGCACTCACCAGCGTGTGCTTATACCGTGTCAAGTTACGTCATTCCCAGCGGCACTCACCAGCGTGAGCTTATACATCATGAAGTTATTGTAGTCAGAGTGTACCATGGGGACAATAAACCAATTTGTGGTGGCATTGCACTGGGTGCATTGTAAGGCCGATTGCCAGGATCCCACACAACATAGCGTGGTGAGACAATTGCTCACTGCTGCAAGACGTATTTGTGCCCGACCAATCAATCGCCGCTCACCTTTCAGGTCGGTGGTGTTCAACAAGGTCGTCGCCACACTGGCTATCCCTACCGCCCCGTTGCAGGACTGGCAAACCGCAGCGTTGTTTGTCCTCGGCTTCACTGCTCTGCTTCGCTGGGACGATTTACAACGCCTCCCGCCTCAGGATATCTCCATTTGCGGCACGCACATGTCCCTCCACCTGCGGCAACGCAAGAACGACCAGTTGCGCCAGGGCGACGTGGTCATGGTGAGCCGACTGGAGCAGCAGGCTTCTAAACCATGTCCTGTGTCGGTCATAGAGGGTTTCTTGGAGAGAGCACGGCATGTACCCACTCAACCTCTCTTTGGCAAGGTCTCCGCAGCAACCCACCAGTCATGTCTGCGGGGAAAGATGACATACGCCCGGGCGCGCGAATTGATTCACACAGCTCTCGCCCGCGTAGGTGAAGACCCCACAGGGTATGGCACGCACAGTCTCCGCTCTGGGGGAGCGACGGCAGCGGCCAATGCTGGCGTGCCAGAGCGCCTTCTTCAGCGGCAAGGGGGGTTGGAAGTCATCCACATGTAAGAACATGTATGTGGAGGATTCCCTCAAGGACCTGCTGTCGGTGTCTCGCGCTACACTACACAAGTGATTATCGGGTCGGCTATCCTTTCCGTCGTGAGTGAACAAAGACCACACTACTACTGTGATCTGTATCTTTCTGTTGTGTGTGGGTGTGTCTGCGGTGTACGCAGAGGCCAGCTAGCTGGCAAAAAGTGTTATTTTTCGTTGGCTGAGCGTAGCGAATAAAACGAAAAATGTATTTTTTGCCAGCATTTTCACCATAGTTACGGCACCAGGATTGCGTCAGCTGGTTTTTTTGTCAGTGTTCTCAAACTTTTCTCTTCATCAGGGTCTTTCTCTTTTCGTTGTAGTTTACCACCCGCCCTCCCGTTTATTCTCACTTCGGGATAGGTCCTGCAGGCTACGTTTGGTTCGTTTATCTTATGGGGTTATTCTAACCGGTTTTTCCTCAGGGATGTGCCTCTGCCGGGGTCCTGAGGTTTTTTCCGCCAGCTTCGGGCTGGTAAATTATCCGGCGGCCCCATTCGCCACAGTGGTTCACTTCTTGCATCATGTTGGTCTGGTACATACGTGTACATGTATATGCGTGAGGTGGCATGCCCTTAAACTTCTTCATGCTCATCTCTACACTACGCTCTTCCATCTTCCACCGTGAGTGAACAAAAACCACACCACTACACACAACTATCATCGTGAGTGAACAAAGACCACACTACTACTGTGATCTGTATCTTTCTGTTGTGTGTGGGTGTGTCTGCGGTGTACGCAGAGGCCAGCTAGCTGGCAAAAAAACGCTCTGTTTTCGTGGTGTTGAGCACCGTCAGCACACTGGGTACATCCTCCGGTGACTTATGTACGTAACATTATCGGATCCTACTACTACGTAGTACAGTCATGTTCATGACATCTTGTACACGTTTTTTATTCCTTTTATTTATTTAGAATCGCATTATCGAAATAGACAGCATAATCGAAGTCGCTTCGTTGTAAGGGGGGATTCAAAGAAGCTTTTTTTGCTATGCGATTGGCGATGCGACGCGATTTGCGACGGAGACGTGCGATGCAAACTCACGAAATACCATTCACAGGCGAAGTCCCCGAAGCGATGATACCTTGCTGATTTGGCGCGAAGTTCAATGCAGGCAGGTACGCCACCATGGTATTCACGCGGTTTGGTACAACTTGTACAAGTTTTCGGGCAACTCTTGAATCTTTGTACAACTTTGCTGAAGAAAAGGTCAAAATCCTACGCCAAATCGTTTGTCGCATCGCAAAAGTTGAGCCGAGCTCAACTTCTGCGATGGCCAGGTTGCGGCAGTTAAATGGGCTGCGAGTTGGCTGCGATTTGGGGATTTCCCAGTTTCGCAACCGTCGCATCGTGTGTCACAACGCAAAATGCTTCCGTGAATCCTGCTTTATGATCAATTATACGGATAACCGATATAATCGGTTCAGCCCTAATATATACATGTACACACAAACATGCACATACACCCCCTCCCCCCTCCCCCTCCCCCAACACATACACACCGTGTACCATGTGTACTCCCGTCACAAAAGAAGCACGCAAACGATAGCAACGATAGGGACAATATCTGAATGAGACAGATCAAGACTAGTGCCAGATATCTGCCTACAGGCCATTCAGAAAAGAATGATATCTTAGCTTCTGGCCATAAATGGGTCAAATTTTAAGTTTCCGTCTTATTTATTTAGGCAGTCCCCCATGGAATTCTCTTCCAATTGTGCTTTTGAAGTCTAGTTTTGCAAAGAGTTAGCCATAACAAGAAAAAGGATTTCGGCCAGGTTTTGCCCCCAAAGCACTGAATTGGGGAAAAACCATGAAAATGCAGGCCGTTCACTCCACTTGCATAACAGTACATTTCCGGTTCGAAACCCAGTTGCGGTACCTTTTTTGGACCCTTTTTCAAGTTTCGAATATCGCGGCATTGCACAGTGTACCACAAAATCGCCCAATACGGGAGCTCTCCAGAGCCAGCGCTCAACTTTTTCCGAATGGACTGTAATCAATACAACCTGTGAAGTTATGAGAATCGACCAACAATGCACACGTGGTCTGCACAACACGAAGTACATCAGCATAGAACGACTAAGACAGTTGGTTTTCCTTGCTGTATGCACACACGCACTCACGCACGCACGCATGCACGCCCCCCCCCCCCCCCACACACACAAACACACATACACCAGGAAATATATTTACATCACTTTAGTATGTAGGGAGGGCCATTGTATGGACCCAAGAGTGCTTGGTGTGCCATGGTCTGCTCTACTGGCCAATGGTGGAATCCGTAAGGTTAAGGTCTGTTGCTCTGGCCTGGCGCGAGTGACTAGATGTTATTTGTTGCATATATTGCTCAAACCGTGTTCTGGAAAAAATGCTTAAGGGGTATCAACGATAGACATTGCTCAACTTACATCGTTCTTTGCAGAGATTGTGTCGGGTTGGAGATCTAGTAGATACTTGACGAGTTCCAGATGCCCTTCAAAGGCAGCGCCATGAACAGGAAGGTTACCGTTCTGTGTACAGGTAACACACATAACCAGACATTCCTATACGTTATCTATCAGAAAAGTACTTATATTGGGTATAATGCACAATCCACTACGAAGTGAGGCAGTCACACGCACAACATTGTGATAAGTCAATTGACAAACTGTTTACAAACTAGTGCTGGAAAGCCCCAATACATGCTTTAGTGCTGGGTACGAGATTGATTAGTTTGCATTCTTTTTGAGCCAAAGTAATATTGTAATATTCCTCTCGTGGGTTGAGGGGCATATGATGGGCGCAAGTATACAATACTAAGAACTCTTTTGAATCATTTGTGGACATCTCTGCTCACACAGAAACATTCCTGTTGATGGGTGTCGAATTGATGATGAGTGTGTCCATGAGGTCACATCAGAAATGATTGAGACCAATGTTTATTTGAACTCGTATGGTGAGCCAATAATGTTATGATGAAGAAAGGAAAAGCTAGGTGTCAGGTCGCCGAATGCCTCAGTACTCCTTGTCAGTTTTGTGCCATTTTGTCGCACTCGCTGACTGTATAAGATCTGGTTACATTGGTGGATAGTTTGCCATAACTCGTAACATTTTGTACTTTTCCTTTCTTAATCATAACCAATGTTTATGTGAACCAAATGCACAATGGAGGTGCTTTGTGCAGCTATCAGTGCCGGCCAGGAAAGTCACCAATATTCACAGGTACTTTTGGAGTAAATCAATCGGTGGGGTTGCTGTTTCGGCCTGATACTCCCCAGCAATTGACATATAGCTAGCACAGTAGTCTTGATTGGCAAGAAGAGTGCTGTAGGAGTAACTGACTACAGCAAGGAGAGTCAATGATGGAGATTGCTTAACTTACATAGCCATTCACAGAGATCGTTTCGGGTTGGAGATCTAGTAGATACTTGACGAGTTCCAGATGCCCATTTGCGGCAGCGCAATAAACAGGAAGACTACCATCCTGTGTACAGGTAGCACACATGACCAGACATTCTAATGCGTTATCCATCAGAAAAGTATTTATATAGGGTATGATGCACAATCCACTACGAAGTGAGGCAGTCTCACGCACAACATTGTGATAAGTCAATTGACAAACTGTTTACAAACTAAAGCTGGAAAACCCCAATACATGCTTTAGTGCTGGGTGCGAGATTGATTAGTTTGCATTCTTTTTGAGCCAAAGTTTGTTTTTTCTCAGTGTTCTCAAACTTTTCTCTTCATCGTGGTCCTTCTCTTTTTCTCTTTTAGCTTGAATTTTTGTTCGTCCGTGGAAGAGTTTGACCATGCCACAAACGAGAAGTAAAAACTCGCTGGCAAGCGTTTCGCTTGCACCCCTGGTTCAAATCCCAGTTCCACCCAGAAAAAAAGCGGACCCGGTCCGCCTCACCTGGAGCTGTGGGCACGGCCCGAAAGTGTATCCGTGCTGGCAACGTCGAGGAGCAAGACCTGCTCCGGATCCTGTCATGGTGGATTCCCTGGAGGTTGCCGGCTCCCCGCCAGCTTGGTTCGCGCAGGCCTTCGGACAGCTGTCAGAGGAGATCCAGGATGTCAAGAGAGAGAGACGAGGGCTACGCGGGATGAGCTGGCAGCCTCCAAGTCGAACCAGGTCACGCTGAAGCAAGCTGGCCTGCAAAAACAATTCGACGTAATACAAACTGTGCTCGATGGCGTGGAGGGAGCGCTCACTCAACTGCCATCAGGTCATGACGCGGCTGCATACCTAGCAAAAAGTAAGGCGACCCTGACCCTCCGCCAGAAGCATCTCCGGATTGCGGACGCTTACGATTGGAAAACAGTCGAAGTATATGAAAACGGTGTGCTGGGTGAAGGGGTTGGCAGATGACAAGAGGATTGCTGAGGCGGCTACAACAGCACGGCGGACAGCAGCACGTCCTGATAGCACGCGGGAGCATCAGCAGCGTAATTTTCGCACCCCCAGCCAGCAGTATATGTCGCGGCCGCCTGCACAGTTCGGCCGAAGAAACATTGGCTTCGGGGCGTTCGGAGACGGAGGCATAGTTCTGGGCTCTGCGGGAGTCACCTGCTATGCCTGTGGGCAGGTGGGTCACATGGCCAGAGTATGCCCCAGCCAGCAGCGTGGTCCATGGCGTCACCAACCGTGATTTGGTGGAGCAGCAGCCATTCCGTGGCCCCAGCATGTTTAGTGCTTCACCAGCGGCAGCAGCCCTCATGCCAGCCCAGCACCCACAATAAGATAAGTGTGCACGGGCGGCTTAAGCCATGTGTTAGTTTTTGGCGTGGTATTGGTGCGTCAGAGTTTGTATTGAAGATTATTGAGTGTGGTTATATTTTTCGGGTGCCGTTGAGGAAGCCCCACTGGCCAGCTTAGTTGTGGTCAGTCCTTTGGGTGTGCTTCCAAAGAAAAATGGGAAGCTGCGCCTAATATTAGATCTGCGGTATGTTAATCAATTCCTAGCTGATATGCATTTCTCGTTTGAAAATCTTCGTGTCATTCCCCAGTTATTTCAGTCCAAGTGCTTTATGTTCACAATTGACTTGAAAGATGGGTATCACCATATCTCGGTGGCCGAAGCTCATAGGAAATACCTTGGTTTTTCTTGGCCTCTTGATGGCACTGTTCGATATTTCCGGTTTGCTGCTTTACCGTTTGGTCTGAAACCAGCCCCGTTTGTGTTCACTAAGGTCCTGCGACCACTTGTTGCCCATTGGCGCAGCAAGGGTCTCAGAATATTCATGTTTTTGGATGATGGTACGGGCGATGCATCTCCGCTAGTGGCAGCCCGTCAGATGGTTGACATTGTCCGGGTAGACCTAACATGTGCGGGTTGGTAGGTAAATGAATCTAAGAGTGACTTTCACCCTAAGCAAAGAATCGAAACGCTCGGTCACATAGTTGACAGTACAGAGAACTGGATCCGTGCCTCCCCAACCAGGGTTGACAGATTACTAGCGATTCTTGAGCGGCTGCATGGTTCATCTGAGCGGATTCCGGTTAGTTACCTGGCGAGACTGGCAGGATCCATTGTATCGATGTGGATGGCACTCGGTAGCATCTCGCGTCTCCAAACTCGTTCACTACACACACTGATCGCTGATGTTTCTGCCGAGTCTTGGAGACTTGGAACGCCTACACTACTATTACGCCATTGGTCAAGGCAGAGATTGCATTTTGGCGGCAACATTTTCACAGTTTCCATGGACAGCCCATCTGGCCCTGCAGGCCGCGCATCATATCTCTGACATGGTCAGATGCCAGGGAAACAGGCTGGGGTGGGTTCTGTTTACATGATGGTGTTGCGGTTGCCCGAGGCGAATGGCCATTTCACTCTAGTGCCAGGACCAGTAGCTCCACTTTGCGGGAACTCCTCGCAGTCCGGTACACTTTGGTCTCACTTCGCACTCACATTGCCAGATCTGCATCAACACTGACAACCAGAATGTAGTCAGGATCCTGTGTAACGGTAGCGGCAAGGTTGAGTTGCAGGAACAAGTTGTTGCTATATTTCGGTTTTCCACCACGATTAAGGCACGTCTGTTTGCGCAGTGGGTCCCGAAGGACCTCAATGTCACAGCGGATCACTTGTCGAGAAATATTGATGATAATGACTGGCAGTTGGAGCCATCTTTATTTCGCCATTTTAACGCCAAATGGGGCCCCTTGACGGTGGGTCGCTTTGCAAGCCACCTATCAGCGCAACCACCCCGCTTCAACTCCAAGTGGTGGTCACCAGGGTGCGAAGCTGTGGACTGTTTCACCCAAGCCTGGGAAGGTGAGGTCAACTGGTGTCTACCACCGCCGGCGCTGCTGGGTGACCTTTATGCGTTCCTCGCCAATGTACCATGCCACGCTGTAGTGGCATTCCCATTCTGGCCGTCGGCCCCGTGGTGGCCTGTGTGGATGCCGGAAAATGGCCCTTGTCATCTCGCTACGGACTCGGAAATCGTGTCTATGCCGTTTGGTGCTTTCCAGCATGTGTCCAAACCAACATGCCTGTTTGGTCCAGACGTGCCGCCTTTTCCAATTTGTCTTCATGCAGGTCTGCTCGATGACGTCATGCCGGGCGCATAACCCATGAACGTTGGCCATCTCAAACACTGACCCTGTCTGTCTGACACGTCCAGAGAATCAATCTTGCCATAGGATGGTATGTTGTGCCAGCTTAGTCTTCTAGTAGCATGCTGCACATTCTTGCTTCTACCTTATTTGGTCTGTCTCTCGTTTCCCGTTTCTTGTTCTTTGGTCTATTTTGTTCCCTATATTTTTGTTTTTGTTTTGTTGTTAGTGTTCCCTGGCCTTGGAGGAGACATATTTATTGGACTTTTTTCTTGTCTTGGAAAGTAATGGTGTAGATTTATATGGGCTGGGCTTGATCCTATGCGCAAATGAGTGCTAGCAGAGTGCTGTCACTACAGTCTATGGAGGGCATGCATTTGTGTGTGAGGCTCCCTGGGAGCAAAGGCGTGCAACACTTGGTGATCTGCATGCCTATGGGAGGCAGAGCGTGAGCTCCCTGGGAGCGTGTGTGTCATTCCCACCTGGTGGGCAGGTTGTGCATGTGTTTTCCCAAGGGGACAATGTGCGACAGGACACTGGGTTATCTGCATGCCAATGAGAGGCAGGCCTGGAGCTCCCTGGGAGCGGGTTGGTCATCCCCACTTAGTGGGTAGGTTGTGCATGTGTTTGCCCAAGGGGACAATGTGCTACGGGATGCTGTTGTCTGCGGGGTCGGGTTTGCTTGTGGCTCGGAAGCCTACGGAATGAGCTGCTATCATGCATGGGACCCGTTTACGGTGGCCATTAATGAGGACCCATGGTTGTTGTTGTTGTTGTTGTTGTTGTTGTTGTTGTTGTTGTTGTTGTTGTTGTTGTTGTGTTTTTGCTGACTGGGTTGCGTGTTTTTGCCTATTTTTGCTTCTCCGTGTGTCATTCTTGTCAGGCCCATCCGAGTTCTGGGTCGGGTGGACGCTGTGACACAACCGTCCCTGAAACCTCTGGCGGACCTGCTAAGGACAGTGATTTGGAAGGATGTTGCTAGCTCCACTGCGTCTGCGTACCAGCGCGCGTTACACCGATGGGAAAAGTGGGCCGTACGGTGTCAAGTTACGTCATTTCCAGCGGCACTCACCAGCGTGTGCTTATACCGTGTCAAGTTACGTCATTTCCAGCGGCACTCACCAGCGTGTGCTTATACCGTGTCAAGTTACGTCATTTCCAGCGGCACTCACCAGCGTGTGCTTATACCATGTCAAGTTACGTCATTTCCAGCGGCACTCACCAGCGTGTGCTTATACCGTGTCAAGTTACGTCATTCCCAGCGGCACTCACCAGCGTGTGCTTATACCGTGTTAAGTTACGTCATTCCCAGCGGCACTCACCAGCGTGTGCTTATACCGTGTTAAGTTACGTCATTCCCAGCGGCACTCACCAGCATGAGCTTATACATCATGAAGTTATTGTAGTCAGAGTGTACCATGGGGTCAATAAACCAATTTGTGGCGGCATTGCACTGGGTGCATTGTAAGGCCGATTGCCAGGATCCCACACAACATAGCGTGGTGAGACAATTGCTCACTGCTGCAAGACGTATTTGTGCCCGACCAATCAATCGCCGCTCACCTTTCAGGTCGGTGGTGTTCAACAAGGTCGTCGCCACACTGGCTATCCCTACCGCCCCGTTGCAGGACTGGCAAACCGCAGCGTTGTTTGTCCTCGGCTTCACTGCTCTGCTTCGCTGGGACGATTTACAACGCCTCCCGCCTCAGGATATCTCCATTTGCGGCACGCACATGTCCCTCCACCTGTGGCAACGCAAGAACGACCAGTTGCGCCAGGGCGATGTGGTCATGGTGAGCCGACTGGAGCAGCAGGCTACTAAACCATGTCCTGTGTCGGTCATAGAGGGTTTCTTGGAGAGAGCACGGCATGTACCCACTCAACCTCTCTTTGGCAAGGTCTCCGCAGCAACCCACCAGTCATGTCTGCGGGAAAAGATGACATACGCCCGGGTGCGCGAATTGATTCACACAGCTCTCGCCCGCGTAGGTGAAGACCCCACAGGGTATGGCACGCACAGTCTCCGCTCTGGGGGAGCGACGGCAGCGGCCAATGCTGGCGTGCCAGAGCGCCTTCTTCAGCGGCAAGGGGGGTTGGAAGTCATCCACATGTAAGAACATGTATGTGGAGGATTCCCTCAAGGACCTGCTGTCGGTGTCTCGCGCTACACTACACAAGTGACTATCGGGTCGGCTATCCTTTCCGTCGTGAGTGAACAAAGACCACACTACTACTGTGATCTGTATCTTTCTGTTGTGTGTGGGTGTGTCTGCGGTGTACGCAGAGGCCAGCTAGCTGGCAAAAAGTGTTATTTTTCGTTGGCTGAGCGTAGCGAATAAAACGAAAAATGTATTTTTTGCCAGCATTTTCACCATAGTTACGGCACCAGGATTGCGTCCACTTGTTTTTTTTGTCAGTGTTTTCAAACTTTTCTCTTCATCGTGGTCTTTCTCTTTTCGTTGTAGTTTACCACCCGCCCTCCCGTTTATTCTCACTTCGGGATAGGTCCTGCAGGCTACGTTTGGTTCGTTTATCTTATGGGGTTATTCTAACCGGTTTTCCTCAGGGATGTGCCTCCGCCGGGGCCTGAGGTTTTTTCCGCCAGCTTCGGGCTGGTAAATTATCCGGCGGCCCCATTCGCCACAGTGGTTCACTTCTTGCATCATGTTGGTCTGGTACATACGTGTACATGTATATGCGTGAGGTGGCATGCCCTTAACCTTCCTCATGCTCATCTATACACTACGCTCTTCCATCTTCCACCGTGAGTGAACAAAGACCACACTACTACACACAACTATCATCGTGAGTGAACAAAGACCACACTACTACTGTGATCTGTATCATCCTGTTTTGTGTGGGTGTGTCTACGGTGTACGCAGAGGCCAGCTAGCTGGCAAAAAACGCTCTGTTTTCGTGATGCTGAGCAATGTCAGCACACTGGGTACATCCTCCGGTGACTTATGTACGTAACATTATCGGATCCTACTACTACGTAGTACAGTCATGTGCATGACATCTTGTACACGTTTTTTATTCCTTTTATTTTTTTATTTTTTTAGAATCGCATTATCGAAATAGACAGCATAATCGAAGTCGCTTCGTTGTAAGGGGGGATTCAAAGAAGCTTTTTTTGCTATGCGATTGGCGATGCGACGCGATTTGCGACGGAGACGTGCGATGCAAACTCACGAAATACCATTCACAGGCGAAGTCCCCGAAGCGATGATACCTTGCTGATTTGGCGCGAAGTTCAATGCAGGCAGGTACGCCACCATGGTATTCACGCGGTTTGGTACAACTTGTACAAGTTTTCGGGCAACTCTTGAATCTTTGTACAACTTTGCTGTAGAAAAGGTCAAAATCGTACGCCAAATCGTTTGTCGCATCGCAAAAGTTGAGCCGAGCTCAACTTCTGCGATGGCCCAGTTGCGGCAGTTAAATGGGCTGCGAGTTGGCTGCGATTTGGGGATTTCCCAGTTTCGCAACCGTCGCATCGTGTGTCACAACGCAAAATGCTTCTGTGAATCCTGCTTGATGATCAATTATACGGATAACCGATATAATCGGTTCAGCCCTAATATATACATGTACACACAAACATGCACATACACCCCCTCCCCCCTCCCCCTCCCCTAACACATACACATACATGTACTTGCATACACACCGTGTACCATGTGTACTCCCGTCACAAAAGAAGCACGCAAACGATAGCAACGATAGTGGACAATATCTGAATGAGACAGATCAAGACTAGTGCCAGATATCAGCCTACAGTCCATTCAGAAAAGAATGATATCCTAGCTTCTGGCCATAAATGGGTCAAATTTTAAGTTTCCATCTTATTTATTTAGGCAGTCCCCCATGGAATTCTCTTCCAATTGTGCTTTTGAAGTCTAGTTTTGCAAAGAGTTAGCCACAACAACAAAAGGACGGCCAGGTTTTGCCCCCAAAGCACTGAATTGGGGAAAAACCATGAAAATGCAGGCCGTTCACTCCACTTGCATAACAGTACATTTCCGGTTCGAAACCCAGTTGCGGTACCTTTTTTGGACCCTTTTTCAAGTTTCGAATATCGCGGCATTGCACAGTGTACCACAAAATCGCCAAATACGGGAGCTCTCCAGAGCCAGCGCTCAACTTTTTCCGAATGGACTGTAATCAATACAACCTGTGAAGTTATGAGAATCGACCACCAATGCACACGTGGTCTGCACAACACGAAGTACATCAGCATAGAACGACTAAGACAGTTGGTTTTTCTTGCTGTATGCACACACGCACTCACTCACGCACGCATGCACGCCCCCCCCCCCCCCCACACACACACAAACACACATACACCAGGAAATATATTTACATCACTTTAGTATGTAGGGAGGGCCATTGTATGGACCCAAGAGTGATTGGTGTGCCATGGTCTGCTCTACTGGCCGATGGTGGAATCCGTAAGGTTAAGGTCTGTTGCTCTGGCCTGGCGCGAGTGACTAGATGTTATTTGTTGCATATATTGCTCAAACCGTGTTCTGGAAAAAATGCTTAAGGGGTATCAACGATAGACATTGCTCAACTTACATCGGTCTTTGCAGAGATTGTGTCGGGTTGGAGATCTAGTAGATACTTGACGAGTTCCAGATGCCCTTCAAAGGCAGCGCCATGAACAGGAAGGTTACCGTTCTGTGTACAGGTAACACACATAACCAGACATTCCTATACGTTATCTATCAGAAAAGTACTTATATTGGGTATAATGCACAATCCACTACGAAGTGAGGCAGTCACACGCACAACATTGTGATAAGTCAATTGACAAACTGTTTACAAACTAGTGCTGGAAAACCCCAATACATGCTTTAGTGCTGGGTACGAGATTGATTAGTTTGCATTATTTTTGAGCCAAAGTAATATTGTAATATTCCTCTCGCGGGTTGAGGGGCATATGATGGGCGCAAGTATACAATAATAAGAACTCTTTTGAATCATTTGTGGACATCTCTGCACACACCAAAACATTCCTGTTGATGGGTGTTGAATTGATGATGAGTGTGTCCATGAGGTCACATCAGAAATGATTGAGACCAATGTAATCGTTTTAGCCCTAATATATACATGTACTTGCTGATACTGACGCTGACGGAACACGAATTTGAGTTGAATACTCACGAAGTCTTGTACCATTACAAGTACAATTTGTTCCCAAAATAACTACTTCGGGACAGTCTGTTCATGGTTTTCATTTGTATTGGACTCGTTCTCTACACTTGCGATAATTTACCGGCAATTCTAACGTTGTAGCGTTGTTCTCTTGTAATTTAGTAGAACCTGTATTGAGTAACTGAGTTTTATGTTTCGTTTCATTGTCGTCAGATCTCCTGTGTACCGTTTTTGTGGCACAATGATTATAGCCATTATATTTGGTCGTCTCCATTCTTGTGCAATCATGCATATGTAGGTTGGTTCTCTTCATGTTATTGTGACCAATTTCATAGATGTTGGTTGTCTTGTTGCTTTCTCTCCCCTCTTCTCTCCCCCAAGCTCGTAAAATAGGTCGGGATGTTCGCATTTCAGAGCGATGGAGAATGCAGTTTCTGTCTACTTCGAGCTGTCTAGTGGCTAGGATTGTTTATTGCGGGGAGGCATAGAGAAACTGAAAAAGCGCTTCGCGAGCTTGAATTTCAGTGCTGGCACAGTACAGCGCCTAGTGAAGATTTATCACCGGCAAATCGCCGACGAAGAAATTGCACCTCATGTCGACATCTCCAGAAAGTGAGACCAATCCAGCGGACACACTCTCAAGCTCACAGAGGACCGGGCAAAGGAGCTAATCAAAATCAACACCAAGTCCTGAGTGAAACTCTCGTGCAAAAGACTTTCAGGAAACTAGCCGAAAAGCATGGTGCAAGGCGTTAGGACTTAGGTGCAGTACAGGTGCTACATCAAGCGGAAGCTATCACTGGGCTGCATGTACAAGCACCAGCGGCTCGCGTGGGTGCTGATCAGGAAGTACGACAAGCGCAAGAGACGATTTGAAAAAAGGACACTGTTATGGCGTTGCCTTTTTGTCTCAAACAAAGAAGCCGCATTATTGCGACGAACGGGGATACCACTTACAGCCAACACGCGGGCAGTCTCATTCAGCTTCAGAGCGGCGAGGTGACAGTCACGCACTGGCTGTGAGCGTGATTCGAGACGAGGAGAAGTGGAACAAGCTATCGTGCAGCAGCTGTCCGGATCTAACGTTTTGAGCTCTTCCTCCAGGGATGATAGTGGCGAGGAGGACGTATAACTTGCTTGAATTTTCGGCTGAGTTGCTTACTGACATGTAACTGATCATGTGCATAGTGCTTTGTGATCGTGGCATGCTTCAAATATATGTATTTCCTTCCTGAGACAAGTGTGAAGATAAGCGCCAATTGTAACTGGGCGGCCCAAGTGTTACGTGATCAGTCTTATCAGTCTATAACCAACAAAGCCACAATGCTACAGCCGTGTGAATGGCACAGTAGCAGGAAGTAGTAAGAACAGTCTCAGGACAGAGCATTGGCAAAAACAGTTGCCAGAAGCGTAAAGAACAGACTGACTAGCGAAAGCCTGAAATGCCAGCAAAGAGCCAAAACCCAATCCACGCATGACGTCACCTGCGCATGCGTGGGGCACACATATAACACATGTGTACGTGAACGCAGTACACGTGACATCTCCCTTTCTTTGAAATAAGAGAGTGTCCGAGCAAATCAAATACATGTGTATGTCGGCATTATAAGAGTCAAATGAAATAGCTCAACATGATGAGCTGGCTTGAGCGTATGTAATGCAGCACGCACATACATAATGAAACGACTCTTAAACAGGCACTACTGATCAATCAGGAGTCCATGATGAGACGCTTAGGGATCCGGACCACTCTTCCAGATCGCATTGTCTGGATGTCAGTGCGGGCGCCTTGTGACTCTGGCGACCGTTGCACCAACACCGGGATCTTGGATGGTGTGCGTTGCACCAACGCCGGGATCTTGGATGGCGTGGTCTTGGGAACAGGCGTTGACGGTCCAGGTAGCTTCGGGCTTGGCGGTGGGGATGATGCCCGGTCTGGTCCGTCAGCTGCAGTCGGCAGTGCGGGTCGGATAAACTGTCGATTTCGCTGCAGGACTCTTCCGTTGCAGGAGACTTCATAACTGCGGCTAGACGTCTTGCCGGCGATTACTGCAGGCTGCCATTCTCTCGACTTGCCGTCAATCGGTTGAATGAAAACCTTTGCGCCAGACGTGAGTGGCGGAGGTCTTTCCTTCGGTGGTCGAGGTGCTCAGCTGCCTTTTGTCTTCTGGTCTCCTTCTTCTGAATGTCGGCTGACATATCTGCAGCGGGCTTGAGGCGATCATTCAGGGTTGGCAGCACAGTTCTGATTCGGCCACCAAATTGTCGTTGCACGGGACTGGTGCTGAGACCTTCAGTGGGTGTGTTGCGCACATTCAGTAACCCGAGGTATGGATCGGACTTCTCTTCGTTGCACTTCTTCATGAACTTCTTCGCATCCTTGACGGCGGCCTCAGTAGCACCATTAGATCTGCTGTTGCCTGGGCTGCTGTGCTCATGCGAGAATTCCCACTTCGCGGCGAAGGCGCTAAATTCCCGGCATGAGAATTGGGGACCATTGTCGGAGACGACTACATCAGGGATCCCATGCCTGGCGAAGTGATACTTGATCTTGCTGAGGCAAGTGCTGGCCAGAGTGTCAGGAAGGAAATCAACCTTGTAGCAGTTGCTCAGGTAGTCAACTGTAACTAAGTAGTTTCTTGACTTGATGGTAAATATGTCGATTCCTACTTTCTGCCACGGGCGATCTGGCACTGGGTGTAGGAAGAGTGTCTCGGGCTGCTGCTTGCTGGTATGACAAGCACAGGTGTCGCAGTTTACGACGAACTGACGAATCTCACTCGACATTCCAGGCCAATAAACAAGGTCACAGGCTCGCCGTATGCATGAGTTTACTCCTATGTGACCGGCGTGTGCTTTGGTTTTCACGGCATTGCGCATGGAAAGTGGAATGACGATGCGCTCGCCACGGAGCAGAAGGCCGTCTTGTGCTGTGATTTCATCACAGCACTTGATAGGACTCAGCGTCCTATCAAGCACTGGAGATGGCAATTAATACCCGGGACATCAAGCGCCCACGTGGCCGACCCCATCTCAGATGGATTGACAATATTAAAAAAGATCTAAAGCACGCCAATATTGATATTTCTGACTGTTTTGAACTGGCTCTAGACAAGTAAAAATGGCTGATGCTTGTGGAAAAATGTGCTGCGCTTGCGTAGTTGTTCTTACTGCGATACGTTCTAACAATAATGAGATGCCTTTTGTCGGCTCTTCTGCCTGGATTTCGTTGACAGATGCGTTAAGCCCATGGATCCTTCCATGAGTGACATGCGAACTGTAACTATTATTATGATACAACCCTGACTGAACCGATTGGCAGTCTTTTTCTCCAGTGTACTGGTTGGTGGGTCATTTGGGTTCTCTCCACTCGTGGACAAATGTTCACCACGCAATCTGCACATCAATATCTGCTGACTGCTGCTGTGAAACTGCAGACTTCTGTGGTAAATCCATGTACCATGTCCGCGCTGCGTGCTCAGAGCAGTGTCAGAGTAGTATTTCAGTGGCAACCGTATTGATTGTGACAGGTTGAGTGTAATCAAAATTAATGTTATGACTTACTGGATTGCCGTTTGATCTTCGTTCCCCAGCGCTTTAGTATTTCTCTTCTTCCGTTAGTTCTTTCTCTTTTGTCTGTCAGCGCTTACTGTTACCCAGTGCTGGGTGCAAGCCCCCCCCCCCCCCCCGGCAGATTCATACATTGTTCTACTTGATAAATTTATTGTTCTCTCAAACTTATTTCTTCGTTGTGTTCGAACTGTTTTCGAATTACTTTCGTTCTTTCTTGCCATGTGCCAGCTGCCGAAGTGTGCATTCGCAGCAACACCATTTTTGAATTATGTCTCACGCACCATATACGCGTACGGTGCAGTACGGAAAATTTGCACTTGTTTCTTTTCTTGTATCCTTTTCTGGTTTCCTAGCACCTTTTCGGGACTGTTCCTCTGGGCAAGAGGTAGCCTTGTCATGGTGGGTTTCTTGTTCATGGTACAGTTTGTCTTTGGTGCTCTTAGAGTTTGCTTCGTCTTTCTTGTATTATTATTAAATCTACACTATCGTCATATGGCCCAACTTCTGCGAAAACGAGGTTTAGGGTGAAAGTGTTATTTTTCGTTGGCTGAGCGTAGCAAATGAAACGAAAAATGTATTTTTTTGCCAGCATTTTCACCATAGTTACGGCACCAGGATTGCGTCAGCTGTATTTTTGTCAGTGTTCTCAAACTTTTCTCTTCATCGTGGTCTTTCTCTTTTTCTCTTATAGTTTGCATTTTTGTTCGTCCGTGGAAGAGTTTGACCATGCCACAAACGAGAAGTAAAAACTCGCTGGCAAGCGTTTCGCTTGCACCCCTGGTTCAAATCCCAGTTCCACCCAGAAACTCACCTGGAGCTGTGGGCACGGCCCGAAAGTGTATCCGTGCTGGCAACGTCGAGGAGCAAGTACCTGCTCCGGATCCTGTCATGGTGGATTCCCTGGAGGTTGCCGGCTCCCCGCCAGCTTGGTTCGCGCAGGCCTTCGGACCGCTGTCAGAGGAGATCCAGGATGTCAAGAGAGAGACGAGGGCTATGCGGGATGAGCTGGCAGCCTCCAAGTCGAACCAAGTCACGTTGAAGCAAGCTGGCCTGCAAAAACAATTCGACGTAAACCAAACTGTGCTCGATGGCGTGGAGGGAGCGCTCACTCAACTGCCATCAGGTCATGACGCGGCTGCATACCTAGCAAAAAGTAAGGCGACCCTGACCCTCCGTCAGAAGCATCTCCGGATTGCGGACGCTTACGATTGGAAAACAGTCGAAGTATATGAAAACGGTGTGCTGGGTGACGAGATGGCAGATGACAAGAGGATTGCTGAGGCGGCTGCAACAGCACGGCGGACAGCAGCACGTCCTGATAGCACGCGGCAGCATCAGCAGCGGAATTTTCGCACCCCCAGCCAGCAGTATATGTCGCGGCCGCCTGCACAGTACGGCCGAAGAAACATTGGCTTCGGGGCGTTCGGAGACAGAGGCAGAGTTCTAGGCTCTGCGGGAGTCACCTGCTATGCCTGTGGACAGGTGGGTCACATGGCCAGAGTATGCCCCAGCCAGCAGCGTGGTCCATGGCAACACCAACCGTGATTTGGTGGAGCAGCCAATGGGCAATTCGGCGGCCCCAGCATGTTTAGTGCTTCACCAGCGGCAGAAGCCCTCATGCCAGCCCAGCACCCACAATAAGATAGTGTGCACGGGCGGCTTAAGCCATGTGTTAGTTTTTGGCGTGGTATTGGTGCGTCAGAGTTTGTATTGAAGATTATTGAGTGTGGTTATTTTTTGTGTTTCACTGCCCTTCCTCCTCCAAAGATCATCTGTAATTCCCCTTCTGTTTTCTCCCATGCTGAGTTTGTGTCCTCCCATAGACGGGATTTATGTTTTTCGGGTGCCGTTGAGGAAGCCCCACTGGCCAGCTTAGTTGTGGTCAGTCCTTTGGGTGCGCTTCCAAAGAAAAATGGGAAGCTGCGCCTATCATTAGATCTGCGGTATGTTAATCAATTCCTAGCTGATATGCATTTCTTGTTTGAAAATCTTCGTGTCATTCCCCAGTTATTTCAGACGGAGTACTTTATGTTCACATTTGACTTGAAAGATGGGTATCACCATATCTCGGTGGCCGAAGCTCATAGGAAATACCTTGGTTTTGCTTGGCCTCTTGATGGCACTGTGCGTTATTTCCGGTTTGCTGCTTTACCGTTTGGTCTAAAACCAGCCCCGTTTGTGTTCACTAAGGTCCTGCGACCACTTGTTGCCCATTGGCGCAGCAAGGGTCTCAGAATCTTCATGCTTTTGGATGATGGTACGGGCGCTGCATCTTCGCTAGTGGCAGCCCGTCAGATGGTTGACATTGTCCGGGCAGACCTAACATGTGCGGGTTGGTTGGTAAATGAATCTAAGAGTGACTTTCACCCTAAGCAAAGAATCGAAACGCTCGGTCACATAGTTGACAGTACAGAGAACTGGATCCGTGCCTCCCCAACCAGGGTTGACAGATTACTAGCGATTCTTGAGCGGCTGCATGGTTCATCTGAGCGGATTCCGGTTCGTTACCTGGCGAGACTGGCAGAATCCATTGTATCGATGTGGATGGCACTCGGTAGCATCTCGCGTCTCCAAACTCGTTCACTACACGCACTGATCGCTGATGTCTCTGCCGAGTCTTGGAACGCCTACACCACTATTACGCCAATGGTCAAGGCAGAGATTGCATTTTGGCGGCAACATTTTCACAGTTTCCATGGACAGCCCATCTGGCCCTGCAGGCCGCGCATCATGTCTCTGACGTGGTCAGATGCCAGCGACACAGGCTGGGGTGGGTTCTGCGTACAGGATGGTGTTGCGGTTGCCCGAGGCGAATGGCCATTTCACTCTAGTGCCAGGACCAGTAGCTCCACTTTGCGGGAACTCCTCGCAGTCCGGTATACTTTGGTCTCACTTCGCACTCACATTGCACAACGCTAGATCTGCATCAACACTGACAACCAGAATGAAGTCAGGATCCTGTGCAACGGTAGCGGCAAGGTTGAGTTGCAGGAACAAGCTGTTGCTATATTTCGGTTTTGCACCACGATTAAGGCACGTCTGTTTGCGCAGTGGGTCCCGAGGGACCTCAATGTCACAGCGGATTACTTGTCGAGAATCATTGACGATAATGACTGGCAGTTGGAGCCATCTTTATTTCGCCATTTTAACGCCAAATGGGGCGCCTTGACGGTGGATCGCTTTGCAAGCCACCTATCAGCGCAACTACCCCGCTTCAACTCCAAGTGGTGGTCACCAGGGTGCGAAGCTGTGGACTGTTTCACCCAAGCCTGGGAAGGTGAGGTCAACTGGTGTCTACCGCCGCCGGCGCTGCTGGGTGACCTTTGTGCGTTCCTCGCCGATGTACCATGCCACGCTGTAGTGGCATTCCCATTCTGGCCGTCGGCCCCGTGGTGGCCTGTGTGGATGCCGGAAAATGGCCCTTGTCATCTCGCTACGGACTCGGAAATCGTGTCCTTGCCGTTTGGTGGATGGTATGTTGTGCCAGCTTAGTCTTCTAGTAGCATGCTGCACATTCTTGCTTCTATCTTATTTGATCTGCCTCTCGTTTGCCGTTTCTTGTTCTTTGGTCTATATTGTTCCCTATATTTTTCTTTTTGTTTTGTTGTTAGTGTTCCCTGGCCTTGGAGGAGTCATAGTTATTGGACTTTTCTTGTCTTGGAAAGTAATGGTGTAGATTTATATGGGCTGGGCTTGATCCTATGCGCAAATGAGTGCTAGCAGAGTGCTGTCACTACAGTCTATGGAGGGCATGCAATTGTGTGTGAGGCTCCCTGGGAGCAAAGGCGTTCAACACTTGGTGATCTGCATGCCTATGGGAGGCAGAGCGTGAGCTCCCTGGGAGCGTGTGTGTCATTCCCACCTGGTGGGCAGGTTGTGCATGTGTTTTCCCAAGGGGACAATGTGCGGCGGGACACTGGGTTATCTGCATGCCAATGAGAGGCAGGCCTGGAGCTCCCTGGGAGCGGGTTGGTCATCAGTGGTTAGGTTGTGCATGTGTTTGCCCAAGGGGACAATATGCTACGGGATGCTGTTGTCTGCGGGGTCGGGTTTGCTCGTGGCTCGGAAGTCTACGGAATGAGCTGCTATCATGCATGGGACCCGTTTACGGTGGCCATTAATGAGGACCCATGGTTGTTGTTGTTGTTGTGTTTTCGCTGACTGGGTTGCGTGTTTCTGCCTATTTTTGCTTCTCAGTGTGTCATTCTTGTCAG